CAACTTTTATGTACCGTAAAATCCTGAAGAGCCACTTGAGCTGCGATGGCGTGATGTCGTGTTCGCTTTTTACTTGCAGTCGATGTAATGCCATGACAATTTGTGCAATAAAATAAACTCGAGTCAGCGATGGAGACACATGCGGTAATTATGCATAAAGGCACGGATCGCCATGGAGTTTGAGTATTTTGGCGCTTGATAGTGAGTGCAGAGATGGGGTGGAAGGTCACCTGAAGAAAAATGGCAAGAAGTCGTGGATGATGTCGAGAATGAAACGCTATTCAACAATAGAGGCGAAACTTGGTGGCGCCAGCATTTGCCACGGTAATGAACTCATGTGAGTTCATGACCTGTGCCAGCTACACACCCATCTCCGCGGTCTGCCGTCATAGCAGCCCTGAATACTAGGCCGGGGGCGATGGGGGTTCGAGTCACGAGCACTGCATTCTCTGTGTGTCGGCTAACGCAGACCCAGCCATAGTGTTGACGGAGAGGGTTCCTTGTCACCTGGTCCCGACGAGAGCCTTCAAGTGCATGTGAAAAAATTATTAAAGTGCTCGTTGCCAGTAATCAATCAATTACTTATTCTCATATCGTTAACAAATGCGTAGGAGTATATTGGACTTCACCTACACATATTAGGTTGTCTCATAAGTAGTGTCGCTTTTTTTCAAACAAAAATTTTCATCTAAATCCCATGCTTTTACATCAGTCATATACCATTCGAAAGAGAATTGTCTGCTCTACAAGATGCTGTTTTTTCTTCCACCTCTGTTCCAGGTTTTCAAATTTTAGGCCTGCGAAATGGGAGGTCCAGCCGACAAAAATTGACCAAACCGACAACTAGCTCTAACTTTATTTTCCCTGGGAGAAATCAATCAATGATGTACCCTCTACTTACTCATGACCTCTTCTAAACATTCCACTCTTAGGTTGCCGAAAAAGCTTTGCCGTGTTTCTTTTCGAATTGGCTGACCGATAAGCCATAGCAATTTTCAAATTAAAATTGTTCCTCGTAAACGCCATTGTTTCATATCGAGTGGTGTTCCTTTTGTGAGCACTTCTTCTGCTCTACTCGCTCATTTGTTTTGTTTCTCTGTTTGTTGGGAATTAGTTCGAATTTTAGATTTAGTTTAATTTTAGGTATTTAGGAATAAGGTGCTTTATCCGCGAAAGTGACCGCATTTCTTTGGAAAATTATCTCTGAGAAGATGAGAAAATCAACCAGGCGTACATTCCTAACTTAGTCATGATTCTACCTAGTTTTTCAATGTCTCGGCTATAAAAAAATTTCGACCTCGATCTCAGGTAATGGTGCTTGACCGTCGAGTTCTGGTTGAAAAACCAGGTCTGGAAATGGAATGACGCGACTTGTTGGGAAACCTAATAGTGTAATGTTTAGAAGAGGTCATGCATAAGTAGAGGGTACATCATTGATTGATTTCTCCCAAGGGAAGATAAAGTTAGAGATAGTTGTCGGTTTGGTCAATTTTTGTCGGCTGGACCTCCCATTTCGCAGGCCTAAAATTTGAAAACCCAAATACGGGTGAAACTCCAGTTCGGGGGGGGCACTCCATTGCTATCTTATCCGTAGTACTAGAGAGCAGTTCTTTGGGCTATCGAACACTACGGATAAGATAATAAGTGAACGACTCATTTCGAGCGTACTTTTGATAAGGACCGGTGGATGTCCTACATTCCACACTACCTGCCCACATCCCATCCACTTTTCTGCACAGGTGATCCACCCTGGAGCTCCTGCACCCTTAGCCCTTTGCGGAGGT